ACTTGTCATATATATATAATCATGCCTGAGCGCACAAAATATCAGCTCTGTAATTAGTGAACTTTAATTAACTGTACAATAACTAAATAAAAAAATATAATCTCGATACTTTTGTATTAGGATTTTCTCTAAATTACCTCAAGAATACATTAAAAAGAATTGTGACAGTAATGGGACATCTTGTATATGTATATAACAATAAGAACATTAATAACAAGAATTGTTTGGCATTTTTTATATTTTTATAAGAGATTAAGAGTCGTCGACGTTAGACCCTACGCACAATAGAAGGAATAAGGAATAGGAATAAAGAATAAACGATTTTAACCCATCAAAAATCGGATATATCAGAATACACGGTTGTGATAGGTTAAAATCGTTTATTCTTTAATCCTAATTCTTTATTCCTTCTATTGTGCGCAGGGCCTTACATTTACTGAAAATAAAGAATTTAGGGTGATATTGGGTCATGGACGAAAAGACGGACGAATGTAACCTCCGTGTGTAGCGTACTTTTACAAAGGAAAAAATTCGACATCTTATGTGAAGGGGTATGCCTGTCCGTGACCTAGCGCCATCACCTAAAGCGCAGTGGTGACCAACTTTATGACAAAGGGCTGATCATCCTGATATCTTGTGTCGTACAAATTTTGTATGACTTTTGCTACTTTCTCGTAAACAACTCGATTGAGTCTTTGAAAATCTTAAGAACGTTCATTAAGATTATTTCTTGGAAAGAAATTGAAAAAGCATTACACTAAATATTATTTTATGAAATAATTTCTTTGCAAGAAAATATTTAGTTTTGGTTTAAACAGCAGCTTTGGTTTAAACATAGTATGATTCTGTATCTTTCATAAATGTTGAAACTGACAATCATATTGATATACGCCCGTTTGACGTATTGAAGGTACAAATTGCGTAAGCATTTATAAAGAGTAACAACTTATGAAGATAATACTCGTAAAATTACTCTCTCCAACATGACAGTTTATCTGTCTTCTACCAATATCATATTAAAAATCGATTAAGGGGGGATATATTACACAGTCAATTGGACATCCCAAACGAGGTGCATCACATGTGGATGTACGACCACGTTTAAATTCATTCACCCAACTGTATACAGTCGCAAATGCTGGTGCAGATGTGTTATGAACATTATCCAACTCGCTTTGATTTCTTTCGGCGTTAAACCTTTCATATGTAGATGTTTGATCACTGCACGAAACTCGTTTTTTTCCATTTTGCAAAAAATACAAAGGTTATTCGCTTTAATCGTCTACAGAAATGAAACCACGCGATGAATTCCACTCAAAATTTGACAGTAATCAGCTGAAAGATGCTACTTATCAAAAAGTAATGTGACATGACACTGCGAGTGCCGTCTGACAGATTTTCTAAAAACTTATTGACTTACCCTCGTATCAAAAGATAAAGTCAAGATAACAAAATATGTATTTGATACAAATAAAAGCTTTGCTGAATAACTTCAACATACTGTTCGTATATTTATTGTTAAAATTTAATGAACAATGTAGATGATCGGTGCATCCGCACATTTTGTCATTTTAACAGAAAATTTTCATAAAGCAAACCGATATTTATTTTAATGATAGAAATATTTTGTTAAAGAAATTCTACATTGAGTAGAAGTAACTGAATTTTCGTTCGAAAAATGAAACACAAGAAACGTCCACAAAAATATAAAGTAAAAGTAACTAAATAATTTGTTGATAGTAGCAACTCTGCAATTGAATGAAAAAAAAATTTTTTTATTTTTAAATAGAATTCGTATTTTTTTAAATTATTTTTAATGTATAATAGATTTATAGAATTAATGTATATAGTTCTATATACAATTTATGAATTACAAATACGCATAGGATATTTTACAATTTTTGAAAACGCTGTATCGAAAATACGGTATCGATGGGATTCGAATCTAAGACCTCTGGGTGGTAACCTAACACGCTAACGCTGAGCTATAATCGCACGTTTGGACAGTTTTGAAACTGGTTGTTATATTCATCCCATCCGAAGCATTTATATCATTGATTCAAACAATTGCATTGTTAATCCAACTCATTCTTTGAATACTAATCTAAATAATTCCTAACTAAGAAAAAAATTTGGTCAATTTTAATAAATATTTAGATCAACAATATAAACTAAATATTTGTTAAATATAAAGATATTTTATTTGGTACGAGTAATATGTAGTCTTCATTTAACACTCATTTTTTTATTGAGTAAATATTTATTTACTATAAGTAAATAAATGTTTAGTTGCACTTGTCAGAGAAATCATTTTGTATGTACACAATCAAAATTTTTTTTATTTGTGACCAACAAAAGCTTTGCTGGTCCTAACCAAAATTTTTAGTTATGTAAATAATGTAAGTCCATCGTCTAAAAAATTGGGAAAAATAGTATCATAAATAAAATAAAAATATTTGTGCCACGGGGATACAAAATTTCAGTTTCTGCAATAAAATATTTTTCTTAATGTAGAGTCTGTTTCTTTCTACGACATAAACGTTGTAAGCAATAAAAAATTTGTTCCCGTGACGCAAATATTTGTTTAAAAATATTTTATTTCAATAATATTTATTTCCAACTAAATCATGTATGAGTCAACCGAGTTTTTATTTAACTTTGAAATTGTAATAAATAATTATAATTTAGTTAATTTTGAATCGCGCTTGGTTCATCAATCAAAAAGTTCTTTGGAAGATGAATAAAACCTTTTTTGTTACTTTAAAAAATTAAAATTATGAAATCTGTTGTTTTCTTTTAACAAAACGTTATATTTAACCGTTCGGTTGAAAATACACAATATTTATCTATTCTTACAGCATTATTTTGTCAATTTGACACTTGGAATTTAAACAAATATGTTACGCAGGTAACTAAATGCCACGCAAAATTAAATAAATATTAGTAGTATTTCTATCAAAATAATTTAATTGAGTTAATTTAGTTATTTCAACTTAGATGGTTGACATAAATAAACTATACATTTGTTGTTGCAATTAAACAATGGTTGAATCATTGAAAAAACCAATCATATAAATTTTGTCCGTATAACCAAATTTGTTTTTCAGTGTACAGCACGGAAATTGGTGCGCAAATTATATAACAAAAATTCGAGTGATATTCACATAATATATTGATCTACCATGAGTATCGATACAATTTTCTTGGACGTTTCGGTTTTTCTTCAAACCGTCTTCAGCAAGTTGTGAATAATTTTCGTCGATGTCTTAATAACATATAGTCCGCAAATGTTGGAAAGATAATTTTCGTCGATGTCTTGACAAAACTTTTGTTATATAATTGCGCACCAATTTCCGCGCTGTATTATCACTCTCGTATCATTGCCCGTATATATATTTTATTATTGTATATTTTTTTGACAATTAAATTTTGTAATTCTTTTCGCGTTCATAGGAAATCTTTTTTCTCAGTGTGACGTTCGAATTAAAATTTAAATTTATTCTCCTCAAGGCTGCGAAATTGTCCACAGGCGATCACGCCCATTTTTGTATCTATAATAATAGCATAAGGAGAGCACCTAAAAAGTGTTACGTATCTCTACTGTTACACATATGACACCGCTTATACCGATACGGGAATTTGGAGAAAGTGCGTCCTTGACGAGTCCTACAATATCATGGTGAGTTTATATAAATGTATCATATATTACGTAAGGAGAGACTTACAAAAGTATGCACGAGAATCGCACCACCTAGTTTCCTTCGTTTTAAATGAATTAGATTAATCGCACTGTCATTATGTATTTATATATATGTAATTTGTATGTATAATTTGTAGGTAATTAAAATAGAGTAAGATTTGAATTACATAATATTTTTTTTACTAGCGACTAGTGTGCTAATCTTCTAGCTAAAAAAGGAGCAACTAAAAAATATAATTCTATAAATTTTTGAGGAGAAAAAATTAGCAGCTAAATATAATTTATTATATATAATTGTATCTTTTTAGCTGCTGGTTTTCTAATTTACTAGAAGAATAGCACGCTAGTTGCTGATAAAAAAGCATCATGTAAATCAAGGCTAAAGCGTGTAAAACCGAAGTCATATGATTTCTTGAATAATAAATGCATGCTGCTATGCCTGCTCTGATACATGAGTATATTTTAAAGATTGATCCACTTAACGCTGCAAACGCTTTGAAGTATTCTTTGATTGATCAGTTCGTAAAATTCTTTCTTCTGATTAGTCAACGAAGCGCATTAAGGATCTGACTTTTAGAATGTTCATACATCATTAGAACAAGCATAACAGCATGTTTATCATTCAAGGAATTATGCATTGATTATAGCTTGATTCTAGCTTAAGAGGAAAATAGTTGCCTGTTTGTGATCTTAACGTCGAAAAGAAATTCATTTTATTGACGTAATTTTGTAAAAAGTACCATCATCTCTCTATTTTATACAAGAAAAAGTTGCTAATTGCACGTAGGATTTAATTGCGCAAATATATATATCTTTTAAGAGAAGTATTCCATCTATAATATTATAGATTACAGATATGTTTATTCAAAGAAACGGGGCAGAGTAAGAGGATAACCGATGAAATCGAAAGTCCAAATGCATCACGATGTTATCGATACATGTTTGCCTTATTTGTAAATATTGCATATTTGTAAATATTTGTCAGATGCGTTGTATTGTCGTGATACCTAGAGTGAAAAGTAATTAGCGGTAAGCGTCGTACGCCTTCGACATTTTCTAATAAACCGTACAGCACCGGATCTGCGAATTTGAATTTCGTGAAGAGCCACGCCCGTTGTTCGTTCGTGTTCCCCCTCGGGCGACCATCCTACCTCTCTTTTGCACCTTCTTTCGTATGCTCCTTTCTTAATGATATCCCATAAAGAAGTCCCATATACATCTCCCTCTCTCGACCATGCATCGACCATGCCCAATCACCTCGAGCAAGGTAGGTGCTCAAAATTCGATTGAACCCCCTACAACTTTACCCGCGTATAAATAGTGGCCGACAGCTACCATTTCGGCAGAAACCCAGTAGTTGTTCCACTTCAGACGAGCAAAATGGCATTCAAGGTAAGCACGTCGACTTTGTCGGGAAAATATTTCAGTATTTTGCGGTAACGGTCGGAAAAAAAGTAACAAATTGCAAATTTCAAAATTTTAACGATAGCATTTTGGGAAAAAATATTGAAACAAGAATTTGTAAAAGCACTACAGTTCAATATGCAGTCATAATTACGAATAATTAAAGCATCTATTTCGTACAGTTGTAATATTTATCATATTTTTACGAATATGGTAACGTGAAATAGAGCTGAAGAAATAAACTATTAATTCAGTAAAGTGAAACATAAATAGATCACGCGCGGATAAATAAATTCTGATTGTTTTGTTATCTTACTTTATCTTACATTTCTTTGAAAGCTAAATCTGTAAAATAGTGTAGAAATATATATTTATCAAATTCCCTCATAATTTTGATATATTATCTATGACTAATCCATTCTTTTGCAGTTCTTATTGCTCGCAGCTTTCGTTGCGATAGCAAGTGCTGGCGGGCCAGCGGCGTACGACATTGGCACGTTGTCCGCTGATCACAACAGCATCGGCTATAGCCAAGAGTCCACGCAGAAGGGCTACGCCGGTCAGAACGTGGTGTCCTCGTATAGCCGCGCCGAGGACTCCGCGCACTCGTCGGTACGCGTGAGCAACAGCCACGTGAGCAACGACGCCCTATTGGAGCAACACGCCATCGGCTACGGCTATGCCGCGCCGGCCTTGGCTAAGCCCCTAATCGCTGCACAGCCCGTGATCGCCAAAACCGCTTATGCCGCCCCGGCCTTAGCAACGTACACCGCTCACCCTGCCCCGTTATTCGCCAAATCCGCGTACGCTGCAGCACCCGCTTACGCCGCCGCACCCGCTTACGGATACGCGACCGCGGCCGCGCCGTTCTTGGCCGCGAAAACGGCATACGCCGCACCCGCTGCCTACAGTTACGCCAGCCCGCTCCTGACCAAGACCTACGCCGCCCCGGCCCCGTTCATCGCCAAGACCGCAGCGTACACCACATACACCGCGCCAGCAACCCCCCTGATCGCTAAGGCCGCTTATGCCGCTCCACTCGCCGCTCCACTTGCAGCCCCGCTCCTGGCCAAGTCCTATGCCGCCGCCCCGGCTCTCGCATACTCCGCTCATACTGCGCCACTAATCGCTAAGACTTATGCCGCCCCTTACTCGTACGAGACAGCTGCACCCGTAGTACACGCCACCTTCAGCGGCTTCGGCACTAGCTACGCCTGGTAAATAATTCCAAAACTGCAGATCTCTCACGATTGATCGGCGTGACGAATGATCGTCCCTCTGACAGTATCGTATTTCCTTACTTTCTTATTTCCTACACGCGCAAGATTGTCTACGTAGATGTGTATATAATATTTATAGTATAATATTTTTTATATTTATACCTCATTGTATACACGTATATTCTGCTCTGTCCATGAAAATTTCCAACAGAATCTTTCACATAAGAAATCTTCACGCGGATCACGTCTCTTAAGGATCTCAGAACAGGTCTCTCAGAATGTATTGTCCACATTTACAGATTAGTTGCGAACAGGAATTTTATTGTATAATTGTATTAAATATGAATAAAACGATCTTGTTAACATATTTTTTACTTTTTAATTCACATGTAACGCGTCATTTCTAACGCAGATAAGCAGGCAGTTTAAGTAACGAAAGGTGATCTTTCGATTAGTCCTTTTTACGAAGTTGACACGAGCAATTTTTGTTTTTCCATTTGCATGTTTCTTTATCTATGTGTGAATGAGGAGACACGATCGTATTGTTCGTGTCTCGGCACTGAAGAGCACGAGACCGAACCGTATATTTATACACGAGCCATCGAATATCGTTAATTCGGAACGTAATACAGGAAAGAAAGTCACGTGCGTACATGGATTGAGCAGTAAGTACAAAAGACTAGGAAATGAGCTAGCTGAAAAGCATCCCGATGTATGTATATAGAAGATAATGGATGAGTGTCGTCTAATTTTCAGTTGGAATTGAAAAGAATTTGCATACAATGGGTGATCGAAAAATACATCGATCGTTCTCGCAACGTTGTTGCACGAAATTCACTTGAATAATCGGCTTACAGGCCGACTTTCACGTATGACCGGTTTTTCGCGTAAACATCAGAACATGATGGTGAAATGATCGATGCGCGTGATCTAGTTTCTCATTCGGACAGAATTTTCTTTTATTTAGCCAACGCTATTGGTTTATAAATAAATTTCGCTGCAGGTATACGGGGTGTATCTAAAATAACGTACACTAATTATACAGTGCTATTCTTAATAAAAAACTGAGTCGAAAAGTCCTTTAGCATTTTGCAATGTTTTTGAGAAGTTATATAATGAAAACACATTATTGTATCATTTTCGTTCAGTCTCTGATAAAAATCTTATTAATGATTTTAAATCATTTATGCCCTTTTTTCCATAGATTATATCATTTTCCACCACCACAAGACAATCGAAAAACGTTCATACTTAACTAATGTAAGCAATATCAATTCCTTGTTTATTTTCGCTAATCTCCGGAAAAAGGATCTAAGTAGAATTATGCCTTTATTCCGCCAACCCCCTCAATTAATCTCGCGTCTTTGATTGAATTGTCACCATTGTGCACAAAACTCCGTCATCATCTGCGAACGACTATGGCTGCGGTCCACTTGACGCTACAAAGCATTTTTTGATTAGTTAATTCGTAAAATTCTTTGTTTTGATTGGTCGCTCAAACGCTTCGAAGTGTTTGTAACGTCAAGTGGACCGTAACCTATAACGACTATCAGCTGACACGAAATTGGCGGGAAAGACCAGTTTAGATCAGCTGTTCGTACAGTTACAGAGTGCCCTACAGTATGTTTACATCGCAAAAGAATAACAGCGATTACGCAAATTGTTTGACTGACAATACTGAAATTGATTTCATCGAGCATCGATCGAAATGGAACCGATTTGCACGAGCAGATTTTACGGCAACAAGGTACAAAAACAATCACCATCCCGGTCCAAGATTTGTTGGGTAAAAACGTACCGGGTCATGCCATCGCACATATTGGGCCCGACCCAATACTGGCAGGAATTTCACAAACAGGCTGACGCTCTAGCCGTGGCTGCTGAACGCAGCACAAAAACGGACGCGTTATGCACCTTCGTGTATCAACGACCTAGCGACGGTAATCGCAAATTCGTCGTAGCGCATCCGGAAGTCTATTGGTGGTATTACAAAATTAAACCTCAAGAAGAGAGATGCTCGTACGAGGTGAGTATGCAAAACTTGCGATTACGATTTATTTGTACTTACAAGAAAAGCGTTTACATGAAAAAAACATGCTTTAAACAACTATTTTCAAGAAGCGATAATAAAAAAACTTCTCCGTCCATCAATTATTTTTATTTTACTATTACTACTTTGATATTTATAATCCATTCCTATTTAAAAATCGCCTTAAGTAACGTTAATTGATATGGCTCTCTAATTGATTCACACTTAATATCTTAAATTAGTCTCAAATATTAAAATCGAATATGAATACTGATCTAATTTTTATTCTTTGAACACAAATATATATATATATATATAATAAATATGTTACAATTTATAGAAAATTAAGAGTATATAATTACAATTGTAGTATATAATTACAATGTCACCTGTTCGATTGGATATCTTAACTTTTTGGATGGCTCTTCTTTGCTAAGCAAAAAACTGATTGCTTTGAATTTTAATGATCTTACTGCACTAAAAAAATCACAAATTTTACAGTATACTCTGTTACGGATACTTTATTCATTTTAAATTATGTCTCTTTAATATGTTGAACAATATGAGATAATTTGTAAAAAACAATTTTGAAAACACTGAAGTTAAAACACACAGATTAAAATCTATTAAATCTTCTGATTGGCCTTTAAATTTAATCGTTGATCATTCGAAAATTTTATCAAAAAGCTTCTACATTTTAACAGGATGTATTATTATTCAAGTTTTTTAAATCTTGAATCTTGCAAGTTCTCTGAACTATATCCTTTCTGCACTCATTTCTCATTTTCAACATTTACTTTAGACTCTTAGAAGTCTGTGATAAATGCTCTTTTGCACCGAAAATGTATTTCAAGAAAAGAAAAACTTATTTTTGAAAAAAATTGAACTTATCCCCTTTGTGCTTAACAAACTATTGTGCTGAATGTTTCCTGTTTCTTTTTTCTTTTTAAAAATCGACCTCTACTGGAATACTATTATAGTGAAGGTAGCAACCGTTTGAAGATGATTCTAATAATATATAAACATTTTTCTCTATGTTTCAAAATTTAAATTGTGTTATGTAACAGAAATATAAATGCCTTTTCATAATATATTTTAATAATGTGTGTATACATATACATATATATTTGGCTTCAAGAATAAATGAACAAGTCACTGAAATTTATGAGAGCCACAGCAGTTGTTGGTACCGAAAAGCAGTTAATTATTACATACAAAATTCGCATAAACGTTTCGATTCCAATTTGAGTCCTTTTCAATCTACAAATTAGTAACAGCAAACGCAGTTCCAATCTCTCTTCCAACTCAGTTCCAATCTAGTCAACGTAAACATTGCACAGAATGTAACGTTCAGAATCCAAAGATCGTTAGAAAAAGAGATTCGAATTTGAAAAGAAGCTTAATTTGAAATATTAAGGCACTTTCAAATGCTCTATATATATATATATGTATATAAAAGATATATGTGTGTGTACAAAGCTCAAAGAAAATTATAAATTTTACAGATAATACCAAAAGATTCACCGTGTTGGTTATATCTAGATTTGGAATACCCAGTCGAACTAAATCCACTTTGCAATGGACCACGCATGACCAAAACGCTGATAGATATCATACGAGCGTATTTACTCAATCACTATCATCTGTTATGCGATAGAAGTAACTTTTTAATACTGGATTCTACAACTAGTAAGAAATTTAGCAGACACGTGATTTTTACTATGAAGGATATGGCTTTTAAGGACAACTCACATGTTGGAAAATTCATCAAAACTATATACAATGATATTTTACTTTATTTGAAGTCGGATATGCTATCGCATGGAATTTTAAATCACTTTAACAAAGCAGATATTGAGGAAATGCTCGTGAAAACACAGCACGGTGAAAAATTGTTTATTGACAATGGTGTCTATACGAAGAATAGACATTTTCGAATATATCTGTCCACTAAGTGGGGAAAACAATCGTATCTAACAGTCTCTGCAGATTGCAAGCATAATTCAGTGAATAAGTGCAAAGAGAAGGAGTTAGGGATCTTTTTAGATTCCTTGATATCGTACTTTCCAAACAAGCAGAATTTAATTTTGCTCGAGTTTTTTAATCGAAGCAATGTAAAAGCTAAACTTTATTCAAATGTACCAATACGATCCATTTCCGAAAATGACGACCAGAGTTCACCATATCCTGAAATAGATAGGTACATTCGTAGTCTCATCGATCCTGGCAAGATACGTATTGCTAAATATTCTGATAAAACTAAAACGCTGAGATATGAAATTTATGGCAACAGGTAATATAACTATAATCGATAATAAAACACTTATTATTAGTTCTTATTTTTCTATATACATCTGTCTCGCTATTGTAAATGATAGCACATGTTTTTACATTATTTTACAGATACTGTGAAAACATTGGTAGGTATCATAAGAGCAACAACGTATATTGGATTGTAGATTTAAACACTAAAAAGATATATCAGAAATGTCACGATGAAGATTGCTCGGAGTTTTCATCTACACCAAAGAATTTACCAGAAGAAATTCTTTTTAAGTTAGACATAGAAGGTGATACTTTCATAACTGGTGCAACAATAGATGAAGATATAAAGATATAAAAATTATTAAGTATGCTTTTATAAGCACAAATGTAGAATATATACAATCATTCGTGTCCCGGATATTAATTTACATCATTTTTACAAATATAGCTTATATAAGTATAAACATTATTAAGAGATTTTTACATATCACTTAACATTTTTAGAAAGTATTTGTAAGGTGATGTATTCAAAAAATTGTATAACAAAAGTTAAAAAACGTAAAGGTTGTAATAAATTTTATACTATGTATAAATGTTATACTAATAACTTGGTGCTTGTAGTATTTCAAAGAAATGCGCAGAATACAAATGATCTAATCGCGTGTACTAAGGATCAATTTATAGTTTTATGATTAATTGTGATTAATTATGAAAAATAATTTCGGGATCGCTATGTCCAGAGAGTTTAATTTGTACATTTCTAAAAATTTGCAGGATTTCTTATCAAATTATTTTCACCATGCAATCTGTCATTTAATTTGAAATAAGTAACTTTTACCTTCTGTTCTCTGAATACATACAGAGGATAATACACCATATTTGCGCATGTTGTAAATATTTATTAACATATACATATATATATACACACATAAATTTGACATATAGGATGTTCCGTTTTATGCAAAATGCACATGATAATCATTTTTTATTCTTGTCTGCAAAATATTAAACAAGCATAAAATACTTTATATGCAACATACGTAAAACGAAATGTACTTATATATACATACATGTGTGTCATACTGTTAATACACTCTGTCTAATCCCTCCACTTCTTTTTTCTCGTTGATGTTTCCGTTTATATTTATGGAGTTAATCCGTAGCATCGTGTGTTGTATTCTGTAGACTGAAAAACAGAACGTTGAGCTTATTAATACAAATAAGGCATGAGGAGCGAAACGAAAATATTTCTTTAAAAGTATCTTACAGTTTATACGACGATACTGTTTCCTTGCCTGGAACCTAAAGCGAGTTTTTGTATGAGATAAAGTCTTTTCTATAACCGTTGCATCGACTGAAACCAATTCTCTGTTTAAAATTGGTCTGCCTATGAGAGTGAAATCTTTACTGCCAATCAGCAACACTTTTTCCAGTTTTAGTTGATCGCCTATGTTCGGTGGCCAGAATCCCTCAATGATTATAATGTCGTGTTCTGTTATCTTAAACTGTTTTCCACATACTTGGACAACTGCGAACATACGGCCGGTACTGTCCGTTGCGATCTGATTGTTAATTTCGTTTGTCACATCTGTGAATAAGACAAGATGTTATTTGTTAGAACTTAATTATAAGAATTGAACGTTTATACATGCTTATAGAATAAATTAACAACCTGTGCATATTTTCTCTCTCTCTTCATTCCATTCCTGTATCTCTGTTTGGTAATTTGGAATTGGTCTCATCCATGGTGGTTTAGCTGTCCGATATTCTGCTATTGGCGTTCTTACTGGCGTTTCCCACAATCTTAATGCTGAAACAAAAAATGATTTTTTAATATCTTTCTTGTACTATGCAAAGTCTTATTGGATGATTTCATGTCTTTGTCTCTCTGAAATTACATATAAAATTCCTGATAAGATTGTATTAATGGATTTATCATAAAATTTTAATTTAATGAAATCTCAATATCTTATAAAATTTTGTTAATGATTTTAGGCACTTTATTTCAGAATTTGAATATAAAATTCTTGATTAACTTTTTTATTAGGTTTTTGTAAAATTTTAATATAACGAAACGTTGATTTTACTTTATCAATCTTTAAAAATAAAATTCTTGAAAGTATAGCGGGTAGGAAGGAGGTTATGTTTGCATTCAAGAGAGAGGTTATATTACTGCTGCGTAGTTTCCACACAATTATAATTCCTAATTACATATATATATATATATACCAGGATAATATTGTTTGCAAATTACGGCCGGTGCTACTCTTCTCAGGCAATTACTCGCCGCGTAATTAAGAAATCTTGAGAAACTGAGTAACGTCGCCATCACGATACGAAGCAAACGGCGATGGAAAACTCTGCAGGTACTTAGACCTGACGACCCGTAGACCGGTGAATGGGAAATGCGAATAAAACCAATGTTAGTAATCAACTTTTTGCAGAATAACTGTTTTCCGACAAAAAATTATCTAATACATAAAAATAATCACGAGATTATAATCATCAAGTTAATCGAAGAAAATTTTCTTGATGTTCTTAATATTTTTTATTTTCGGGCCATATATTTTTGGACAATAAAGCTGTCTGGCGGGAATTTTCAAAGACTGATTGTTTACATCTTGCGATGCGTATTGTTTTAAGATTATTACATTTACATGAAATTTTTACGTATTATCTACGTTAAGTTTACACGAGTTTTTTTATGTAAACATTACACGTGTAATGTAAAATATGCAAATTGAGTAAGGCAACACAGAAAAAAAAATTAGTTTTATGATTGTTATAATTAATATGTCCAACTTTAATATTGATAAATAAAAACATGTAAGCGAGATAGAAGTTTTAATGCAGTCTAATGCAACAAAGAACATGTAAGCTTCAATAATTCATGGATTGTTAAATTATGTTTTATGTATTTATGGGTGCGTTCCGATATTTACTGCCAGTGCTGAAAATCTATAGTGTACGTGACGTATACTATATAGTTTCAACACTGGCAGTAAATATCGGAACGCACACTATGTAAGTTTACATCTATTAATTAACACATTTTACAATTGGCTGCGTTCTGTTATATATATTCACCGTGCAAGTATCGAAAATCTATAGTCCACGTTAAGTACATTATAGATTTCCAGTATTTATAATACTTGAAGTGAATAACAAGACGCAGTACAGATTATTACATTTTACACCGATTACACGCGTATAATTTTGGTTAGGATCCTTTTAAATAATGCAAAATTAATAATTCCATTTACGTTAACAATTTAATATAAACATCGCTCTATAAGTTAATCATTAAATTAATCGGAGTTCGATCGAGATCACCTTTTCGTTCGCATGATTACTTGAGACAGGCACTCAGGCAGGCAGCTTGAACCTTGAGGAGACCATTCGAACGTTCGCGCGTGCGCGTCCACTCGCGCATATCGGTTCCGGTCGCGCGCACGCGTCACTGGCGGCTGCCCGGCCGGTCAGTCAGTTTCCGGTCTTGGCAATATCGTGAGACTTGCGTGGACTTGCGAAGCACGCAGAAATGTCGTACGCTTAACGCGACGGTCGCTTGTTATGTTTGACCGTTCCGTCGCGGGTGATCTCGGTAGTGCACCGCGTCGACGTCGCGTCTCCGTCGCAGGAACGATCGCAGTCCGATCTCACGATCTCCCCATCTTCTTCCTCGCCTCTCTGTTGTTACCCTTGGCGCCCACGGTTCGGTGACACGGCGTCAGAGCGACGTGCGTGGCCCAAAGAAGCATGCAGTTCTACAAAGACAGGCTGCTGTCGTCCGGTCAGCTGAAACGGCTCAGCGAGCACAAGTACAGCTGCACGAGCAACAGCATCCTCGATGGCCTCCTGCAGCCATGGTGGGACTGGCTGGTCAGCAAGGTGCCGCTTTGGCTCGCACCCAATCTCATCACCGTGCTCGGCCTGATTGTCAACATCGTCACCACCCTGATCCTTGTCTATTACAGTCCGGACGCGAGGACCGAGGTAAGCCTGACATTAAAAGCTCCTAACTTGTCTCTTCATGAGACACGTCCTTTCTGGTTCTTCCTGAACATCGCCGTATTTCTGTGACGCATATTTTTCTTATCACGAAAAAAAACTAATTTTTCATGTAATCTTTAAGCGAGTAGGAGTAGCCACAGCACCTTTTAGATACAGTTTTTCTTAAAATTATTCAAAAAAAGGAAAATAAATATTGTCTCAGATACTCAGAAGTTTTGAAGTTCATTATTTTCACATTTCTTTATTTCATAAGAGTATAACTGATGTAAATTTATAACTGTAACATATAACTATGTATAGTTTTAAAAAAGCCGTTTTTTTTGAAAAATTGCTGTTTTTGCTATGTAAAAGACATAACAATAGTAATTTCTAATTTCCTTTATAAAATTAATGCGACCTATGAATGTAGCATTATTTTTATTAAAATTTTTTAATTATCCTTCTATTTTTATAGTAAAATCTAATCTAACCTTCCTTTAATACATGGCAAAGCTTAAGTAGACAGATTTTTAACTCTAGTTTGTCACACTCCGGTCTAATGAACTCCTGAAGTGTCTCTTTGTAGTTTATTTTTTTTCAAACATTTTGTTATGAATTCAGTTTAAATCCAAATTATTTTTTAGACCTACTATTATCATATAAACATGATGTTTGGACTTTATATTTTTAATTCTTACATTAATGGTGCAATAGTATATATTTTGTTGAATACATTATGCGACCTCAATCTTTTATACAATTTCTCAAATTTTTCAAAATTTCTGTTATCTTATCCCACTGTGTACCCTATACGCAATTATTTTCTTTACGGGAAGAACCAAGAAGCAAATGTGGTAGGTTTTACGAGCACGCGTGAATTTTTCCAAAATGAATTTTTCTACCCTTGGAGAAAAAACCAAAAAAATCCGCGGAAAAATTGGGTTTTTTCCTATCCTTTAAAACTATATAACTATGTAAATTTATAATTGTTACATATAACTATAAAATTATAATTAGTAATATAATTTATAAAAATATAACTATAAAATTATAATTTTTTAGAATGTTCTGAGCACCCTATTTATCAATTTTTATACCTTCAAACCATCTATATACTTAAAGGTTAATTAAAAAGCTGTCTGCTGTAACAGTTTTATTGATGTTTAACTTGAAATATTTCATAGTAAAACTTTATCATTTAAATTTCGTGCAAGTGAAATTTTTTAATCACATGAAAGCTCTTTTATTAGTTGTTACGGATAAAATCTAAAAAAAAAACCCTTAATTTGAGAATTTTCTAACATTTCTGATATGTTAAGGAGATTCTCGCGCTACTTCCTAGTCAATAGACAGTTTATTCACAATAATATGTAAAATAATTAAAATAATGGAATAAAAAGGTTACTATATCTTATGCCATTATACATAATTATTGTTAATTTTATATGTTACTAAATATTTTCAAAATGACAAAATAAAAGTTGTAAGATACTCATTTGATATACGCATCGTCCATTTGACATACATTCTAGCTTTTTTCATTGAAGAATATAAATTTCTTATAAACTGTACGGTCAGTTTAAATGAAACTTTATGAGAATAAACTTAAGTGTTTATTTTATGATTATAACGATTTTTAAATTGCTGTCTTATACACAAGTATCATAATTTAAAAGAGAATAACTACAGAATAAGATTATATCTTCAACTTGTAATGTAAAATTCTTTAAATTTAGAATTAAATATCTTCAAAATGGTACGGTAAAAGTCAATGAAATTTTTTCTAGATATTATTGACATTGTTAACTTTTACATTACATGTATATTATAGACTTGTTTTATTGTTCATCAAACGCGAGAACCTTCTTAATTATAGTAAAACATGAAGTTACAAATTAGAACACATATGTGTCTGTTGTCTACCTTTAAACAATTTTGTTGTATTATTTTCTGTATAATTTTAATTTTTCTAACCAGGGCAGGATAATATTTTCAAAATTAGTAGATAACAAGGACTCCACAAATTAAAAAAAAATTTTAATAAAAGGCTGTGGGAAGATAATATTTTCATTCTCAAGGATATTTTGATTCAAGAATTAATGCATATTTGAAATTATTATTTTGAATTTGATTGATTTATTGAACAAATTTTACATAATTATAATCAAGATAAAAGACATTATTGTGAATCTCATCAAGGAATCTATTTTCTAACTGAAGAAGTGTTGTTACTGGAAAATGCAATGTCATGCAAATCTATGACTCATCCATATAACTCTATTATTGATGTCATAAATCTAGGTGCTATCTATGCAGTTGTATTCAAATATACCTTAAGTTTAGAGCAATTGAACAAATGTATCTTTATATGAAAAGCCTCGACAATGAATCCTATATAATATAGTAAAGTATGTTATAATTACAATAAAATTGTCTATTATTTTTTTCAGGCACCTCGGTGGGCATGTTTTTTATGTGCACTTGGTTTGTTTATATATCAGAGTTTAGATGCTATCGACGGTAAACAAGCCAGGAGGACTGGCACGTCTACACCATTGGGCGAGTTGTTTGATCATGGATGTGATTCGATATCAACAGGTAGATAACTGTTGCACTGTTCTTAATAATCTTATGCATTAGAAACAATTTTAATTTCTGATATTTATTTTCTTTTCAGTGTTTGTAGCTTTGTCAGCATGTATAGCTGTACAATTAGGATACTACCCAACGTGGATGTTTTTCCAGTGTTTCTGTGCAATGACACTTTTCTATTGCGCTCATTGGCAAACCTATGTTTCAGGTATAAAACCATTTTGTATAAAAATAAAACAATACAGCGCATTACTTAACTTTATTTATTTAAAATATCATTTTAATAGGTTCCTTGAGATTTGGTAAAGTGGATGTAACAGAAGCACAGTTTACAATCATAACTATTCATCTGATTTCTGCAATCTTTGGTCCACAAATCTGGATGATAGAGGTTGTATTGTTTTTAATTACCCTGAATTACTGTTTCTATATTTTACATAGCAAGAATATTTTGTATAGCAATTTAATACGTTTTACGATCTTTTTCTTTTAATAAATCGTTTACTTAATTTTAATTTTTTGCATGGCTGCAAACATGAATACTACATTCTGCTTTGCTTATTTTTTAAAGATAATTACATTATTATTCTGAATTATTGATAACACAAGGTACTCATTTAACTATACACATGCTTATGTAACTGCTTGCACTACAGTTTTTATGCAAATGGTTTATGGCAATATTTATCAAAGATAAAATTAAATAGCTCGAAGTTGTAATTTGCATTTTTAAAAATGTAACTCATAGCGCAAGCAAAATGATAAAATTTTGCTTATGTTGCTATGGGTTTCAGATTTTATGGTAAGTAATTTTGATAGCTTAGCACACATAAATTTATGTCATAATAAAATCTATATAAAAAGTGTAGTATATCTACTACATTTCTATAAAAAATATAGATTGTATTATTAATAATATAATCTTTTCAATGTCATTTTTAGTATATCTGCTGAGCATGCAAACTAAGTTAATTTACTAGCCTGTACTATTAATCTTCTTGGATAAAATCCTCAGTAACAGAAATTGAATATAATGTATACTATTATGCTCTAAAATTTGATTTTTTATGTAATTTACATTCATATATTATTTTTTACACACTCACATATATATATATATACACATACACATACAAGTCAAAACATGTATATTACAACATTACAAAAGATTATACTTTGTGCTACTTAAAAATTATCCAAATAATTTTTGCCTTGAAAGATTTTACCGTGGTATTCATGATATACATGATAAAAATTTAATGAGACAATATCATTGTACATATATACATACAATGTCACTTAATGAAGGTATTTTTTGCAGATACCATTCTTAGATGGTTTTATGTTTAAGTATTTATTAGGAGTTATGACAGTGGTGTGTGCACTGGCAAATTTATATTCCATATTTTCGGTGATTTTCACCGGAGGAGTGGGCAAGAATGGTTCCACTGTGGCTGTAAGTCTGTTAACTAGAATCTTTTATTGAACATGCAGAAATGGGAGCAGCATGGCATGAGGAGCGGCGCTGAGATTACTTCTTTACTGCAAAATATTTACTAATTTTTAACACGCATTTTTACTTCCGTACTCCCTACTAAATTATGGCCTCATATTCTTGTTTTTGATACCTCCACATCCTACGACTCTTATAATGTATTGTATATATATCATTATATGACTGAATTGTACTTCTTTCATATGTAAATTTATATTTTTCAAGTTTTCAGCAAGTTATTAGTGTGTTAACGTATTGTAAAAACACAACTAAAAATTTTTCCTGGTGTTTTTCAATGTAAAATTAATCATAGCTATTATGTTCGCCTTTTGATGTTATATTTATGATGAAAAATCTTATAATCGCCTTTTGATATTATATTCATGATGAAAAATCTTAATCGCATCAGCTTTTTTATAAATACATAATAATACTCTCTTTTGAAACAATTTCAAATTAGGGATTTTTGTCAAATAGTTAAAAAATTTTAAGTCTATAAATTATATATAAAGTTTTTGTATAAAGGACTTAACGTAGATATTAGGGAATTTTGATTTTCTTATTATATTTGTGGCATATATACATTATATTCTTTTTCACACTACGCTTCTGAAGAAGATATAATAAGCACATTTGCCTATAGATAAAACACTAAGCCTGCGAAACCTGCACATTAGATATAACAAAAAACTGACTTTCTTTCATATTGAAAACTATGACATTAGGGTGAGGTCTTTAACATTTGACTTACTCAAATCAGCTGCTCCCTCGTGCCTTACAATCTTGCAGTTTTATTGCAATGAGAAATAAGCATGTTCTGTTTGTACATGCTTACAGCAAATACGACCACAGGTAGAACTAAGCCCATCCAGAGCGATATTATTGCGACAATGGTATCGAGAGATATAATTACATCAGTTTGTGTATATATGTAGGCATTTACATATGCAAGAACAATTGTAATGAGCAATTCTCATAACGAACGAAGATCTTGTCGCTTTGTTTAGATCCCCATGCTCGGTGTAGGCACGTTCAATAACTACGTAGCATTGGCCTCTTATGCAGGCTACGTTCACGTGTTCCTTGAATTCTGTAAAGTCTTTGAATCTGGTGGGATTGGAAAAAACGGTTCCACAATTGCAGTAAGTCTCTTAACGAAATGGCGTTCTCCTAGAGCAACATATTCTCATATCTTTTGCCATTCTATACAGTAGAGATGTTATCTGTTTGGTACATTTCTTCATTTTCTGCTTGCTGTCTTCTCTATCAATCTCTTCTACGGGGAAACTTATATCGGATGTTTGGTTGGATTACTAAACGTCTGTGTATGGCCGTCTGCATATTAAACCACCAGAGTGATGTATCTCGGTATCTCGCACAATTTATATAAACGCTTCTTTTGTCTGATATAGATATCGCTCTTAATATAACAAGCTCTCAATAATCTCTTTACTCGAGAAATATATGCTTTTATTAGCACACTTCTATTGTTACAACAACTAAGTAACTGTAACCTGGATTTGAAAAATTAATTCTAAAAAAGGTATACTACATTAACTTCTATTTATACATACTAAATTTTATAATGCCATATTTAATTGTACAACATGAGGCTTTATTTACTGTGCAGCTTTTACGTTTCTATTTCAATAGAGATACAAGATATTTGAGTAAAAAGAATATTATCCGCATTTATTGAAACTTGCTATATGTAGTTCGTTTTGTGAAGTTAATGCTTGCAAGGAAAATGATGTATGTTATTTTATATGTGAAACAAAAATACCAACACTTCTGTGTATGACCGAATGCTGCACAGTGATAGCTTTAATTTCTTCAAGTCTTTTTTTTAGTTTAAATTCGGATCTCACGTTATCGTATATTGTTTCTTGCACTTGTTTAATTACATGTTCGTGATACAGCAACAAACACTTTGCTCTGCACCTTTATAATTTATAAATAAATTTTATTCTTCTCTCTTTATTTTTGTTCAATTGTAAAGATTATAAACAATTAATTCATCACTCAAGATAACAGAAAGAAAGAATTTTCAAAATTTCATATATAAATTTCTGTGCAGATTTTTTAGATAACAAATGAGACTTACGTATTTACAATATGATTACGAATAGCAATCAGAATTTAAGAAATAATAAGAAAGAGAAACAATAAAATTTTTTCAGTTTCAAATGCATATAAAATAATATAAAAGTATTTTATTATATAATACGTAATATTGTATATGTACATATATTTGTTCTATTAATTTTGTGATAGCATTATGAATTGTAATTAATACGGCGTTAAAATGTAATGTACGAAATTGTTTCAAAAGTAAAAATAGCAAATTTATTCCTCAATTTTTGACTTCACGTTTATACAATTAACATATTTGGGATACGAAGTATTAGAAAGTCTGATATGAGAATAGCCTCTGATGACTAATCAAAAGATCTTTCGTGTCGCTCTTATACAGTTGCCATACACTGGCACAGAGGTGAAGGTGTTTCCGTTATGGGCTGCTGTGGGCATCGCTATTTTACTTGCACAGAGCAGCATATCCGTCATTCTCGCCGGTGGTGTCGGAAAAAATGGCTCCACCGTCGCAGTAAGTCAGCTGAAGAAAAAAGTAGTGGGACCAATTGTGTAGTGCACAATATTTTGTCTGATTTCTTTTTAGTTCATGATTTAGGCCCATGCTTTTTGAATATGTCGCGTAGGTATGAAAAGAGTTTGCTTGGGAAATCTTTATTATTATAGCGAATTAATAATGCATTTTAATTTTGTTACTAATACATAAAAAATTGTATATGGTCTAAAAATAATTAGTAATAATAATAATAATAAATAAATAATCTATTAGATCCATTTATTTTCTTTAGACGCAACGATGGGCCTAAATCTAACGGCGTCGTATAAGATTACTCATCACTGTTACTGTTTTCACTTATGTTAATATTTGTTATATTACATACTTCCCCTCCCCCTCCCCCAGAGGAATCCATGTATGTCCCTTCACTTTTCGCTTTCTCCTTTATATTTTGCAGTTATAGAATAGTTCTCATTTCATTTCCGATTTTCACTTCAAGCCGAATTCTTACACGCATGTTACGAAACTGTAGAAAAGTAGAAATGCATATTACTAATGACGTTCTACTACATCATGATATTGCGATTTTTATTTTACTTATACGTGCATTTTACCTATATATTATGTAGATGCAGCATTATGGCTATATTGCATGTGTCAGACGAAATTAATATTTTATTAATTACTATAATTAAAATTATGTTCCTTAATGACTTTATCTATAAAGATTTACCTGACTCATTTAATGCATTTAGAGTAAATTACTTGCTATATTGTAATTTGAATAAATATAACAATCAAACTTTAATTTCTCTCTACATATTTAGATATAGATTTTGCTTAAAACTTATTGTATTTTTATTTTTTCAACACTGCAGTTTTTCTTATCAAACGCACAGAGCAGTATATAATAGCTACGTTTGCATCTATTATAAAATCTTAATAATGTGATTCTATTGTATATTTTTAAAGAAATTGTTTTACGAGTACAAAGTAAATTTGTACCGTAAATGTGGGTGACTTGGGATAGCATGTATTTTTGTTAAATTTTATCATAGAATCCATCCATAAGTCTCTAAAGGAAGTTAAGTTAAGTTTAAGTTTTAAACTTTCTTTAGAGACTCATGGATGGATTCCATGATTGAATTTAACAAAAATACATGCGGTCCACTTGGCGCTACAAATGCTTCGAAGTATTTGTAGCATCAAGTGGATGATCGTAGCCTTAATCGGACTATATTTTCTTCTCTTACATATAAATCTCCGCACGTAGCTTTATTTAAATATCTTCTTCAGACTTTTTGCATAAGACCGATTTTATTTTAGGGGACATCCGTTTTATCGCCAATTATACCATTTAGTTTTGTGGTAGTACCGGCTTTTATAATATATAGAAAAAGCGCCGAACACGTCTACGAAAACCACCCAGCCCTGTATATACTTGCGTTTGGAATGGTGGCGGCCAAAGTTACGAATAGACTAGTGGTATGTATATTGATTGTGTATTTGTAATAATATCCTTTCTTATTTGTGACAATCTATTGCTATATTTTTGATATACTAATTTTTTATAATGTTGCTTTTCAGGTTGCTCATATGACTAAAAATGAGATGCAATACTTGGACAGTTCATTAATTGGTCCAGCTATGCTGTTCCTCAATCAATATTTCAATTTTTTCATCAAAGAATATTACGTTCTTTGGCTGTGTTTCGTAAGTCAATGCTTGTGTGATTTCTATCTTTACGACATAATCTTCCACGATCTCAATAAATAACGAAACACATATTTAGATCTGGGTCACTCTGGATCTCTTCCGGTACAGTGCTCAAGTATGTCTTGAAATTTGCGATCACATGAAGATCAAGCTATTCAGGATACCATGTAACCACTACACAGGCGCTAATCAGATCAACACCGCCGAGAAAAATGGTACTAATAGGTCACAACGTAACAGATTGCATAAGAAACATCATTAGGATTGACTGATGATAATGAATGTTCTGTATGATTCGTGTATAAAGAAATCATGATGTAACAAAGTAAAAACGCTTGTCGAATTCTGTGTACATAGTTCGAATAGTACAGCTCATTTATTATCACATTTGTAATTTATGAACTTGTCGTTTCAAACTATAAGAACTTAGAAAATTGGTAACTTATGATTAAAAGTTTTATGACTTCTGTACATAGAATGTGGCAACACTTATAGTTTTGCGGAAGTTGACACGATAGCCAATTAATTTATCATTTTTCCATAAAAGCGAAAGAACGATTGACTACCGCGCTAACTTCTGTCGCGCACTGTGTGCAGAAATCATTAGTTGAATTTATTAGCGATTATTACAAATTTTTAGTAAAACGTACCGTGCATCAAAGCAAGAGAGTGCCGGATCGTATAATAAAAACGGTACTTGCTCCATACTTATAAGAAAAGAAACTAAATTAGGATTCAGAATGTTCGAGAGGAGAGGCACATGAGATACATAAGTCTGTATGAGGATGTTATAAGTTTGATATGAACTGCATTAAACTTTTAAATCTTTGTTTTCGGTATGTCTGATTCTGATATATCTCGTTCATAGGATGTTTATTATAATAATATAATAGATTATATATACATCAAATATGGCAAGATCAAAAATCTCATCATTGTTTGTAAAGAAGTAAGTTTCTCGATAATTAATATCTAGAATTACTTTCTAAATACTCATTTAATGAGTTATGTTTTTTAGTAAGATTTGTTTTTTTTATTTGATTATTTGATTTATTTTTTTCAATAACTTATTGTTAGCAATTTGCTGATAATATTTTTGACAAAACTGAATAACTTTTTTTTTTCCAAAAATTTCAATTAGTAAGTTGTTTGATATATATTTATGTTTTATATTCGTTAAAGCCTTGTAAAGCTTATAAAAAAAATTTGTATGATGTCAATGACATGATGTCTAACAAACTGTATGAATTTCATTTTGAAATGTATAGTTTTCGATCGTATGGAATGCGTCGTGAACATTTTCTATTTCTGCTTTTATGCGTGTGTCCATGTATTTGATAACAAAGAACATTTTTAACAAAGATACAATAAATTAAAGTATGTGAGATATGTTAGAACATAAAAAGACTAAAGACAGTTTCGACTTTACACTAGATATATTTGTTTACTTCTACGTCAATAGATACGACAATAGATACAATTAAGACGAACACTTTATTAAGAGAGTCTTTACATAAGTGTCATATATA